CTGCAAGTCCTGGTAAGAGAGCAGTGGTTCAGGGTCATTGAGGGCTTTTGCCTGGGTATAAGGGAGGATGATTGTGTGTGTTGGAAAGGACCCTGCAGAACAGGGTGACCTGGATGCCCCTTAGTCATCCCAGGAGTCCTGGGGCCACCAAGGAGAAGGCACTGGGGTGTGGCAAATGTTTGCCCTCAGGGCACTTTGGAGGCAGAAGCACAAGGTCCCTGACTCCTCCCCAGGGCTCCCACCCTGGGTCCCCACCAATGCCCCCCCCCACACACACACACAGCTTCCCCTGGCACTGGGCATAGAAACCAAGGGGGCCCTGCCCCAGAGCTTCATCCCCAGTCCTCTTTGTTTTGGGACAGGGTCTGGCCAAGTTGCCCAGGCTGGCCTCCAACTTGGAGCCCTTCTGTCTCAGCCTCAGGAGGGTTAGGGACAGCAGGCCTGCTCGCTTCTCCCACCTTGGGTCCCTGGCGCTGAACAGACTCAGGATGTAGGAGACCTGAAGGGTAATAACTGGTGCATGCGCAAAGCCAGAATGCACACAGAGCAGTCGACCCCAGTTTATCTAAACAGAGGGCCCTGGCTCCCAGGTGCAGGGCGGCCCTCCCTGCTCAGTAAAGGGGAGGAGCACAGGCGCACTTTTCCCTCACGGCCAGCAGGCGGCGCGCAGCGAGGGCGCGTTGGGCACATGCTTCTCCTTCTGGCCAGCAGAGGGCGGCAGCCGGGGCTCGCTCAGGGAAGGTCAGAGCGGGAATCCTGGGGGTCCTGTGCCTAGCCGGCTCCCTCCCTTTATGTCTGTCTCTATTTCTCATTTGTCCCCTTGTAAAGTGGGGCCAGTACGACAGTGACCCACAAGGTAAGTATTAGCACGTGGTCAGGAGGACATCAGTGACCTTCTTTCATGTCTTTACCTTTACCTGGGGCTGAGGATCCACCCAGGGCCTCACAGGTGCTGGGCAAGCTCTGCCCCTGGCCACAGCCCCGGCCTCAGAACAGGGTGATTTTAAAGCAGCTCCCTGTCCCATTCCCAGGCGACCAGGTGACCTGAGCTGAATGCTGCTCCTGAACCTCTGGTTCCTTTTTTGTGGCTGGTGCTGGGGGTGGAACCCAGGGCCCTGTGCAGGCCAGACAAGCACCCGACCAACTACATCCCAGCCCCTGAAACTTACTCCTACACTGGTAACTGTGGGAGTCTGGAAACCAGGGTCACATGGGGCTGACCTTACTTATTTCCTGTTCAGCCCCTTCAGGATATGAAGATGCTGAAAAGGAAATTTCATACCTTTTTTTTAAAAAATATTTTTTTAGTTATAGTTGGACACAATACCTTTATTTTATTGATTTATAGGTGGTGCTGAGAATTGAACCCAGGGCTTCTCATGTGCTAGGTAAGCATCTACCCCTGAGCCACAACCCCAGCCCCTTTCTTTCTTTTTTCTTTTTTTCTTTCTTTCTTCTTCTTCTTCTTATTATTATTTTTAGTGCTTGAGATCCACCTGGGGTGCTCTAGCACTGAGCTCCACCTCTAGTTCTTTCTCTTCCTGGGGTACTGGGGCTGAAGTCAGGAACCACCCAGGCCTGTTTTATATTTGATTTAGAGACAGGGTCTCACTGAGTTGCTTAGGGCCTCCCTTTTGCTGGGGCTGGCTCCTCCTGCCTCTGTCTCCTGGGCCCCTGGGATTTCAGGCCTCCATCACAGCACCACTCTCTAGTCCTTCTTAATTTAATTTTTGGTACGGGGGATCAAACTCAGGGACACTTTACTGTTATTGAAAGCTCTGTCCTTGTCCCCCATGCCAATTCAATTAGGAGGATATGTATTTGGGAAAAAGGAAAAAGTTTATTGCTTTGCTAGCAAAAGAGAAGCCCAGGGGCTGGGGATGTGGCTCAGTTGGTGGAGTGCTCACCTCCCATGCACAAGGCCCTGGGTTCAGTCCAGAGCACCACAAAATTAATAATGTTATGTCCATCTCCAGCTCAAATATTAGAGAAGCCCAGGGGCCAGGTATGGTGGCACACACCTATAATCCCAGCAGTTTGGGAGGCCTAGACAGGAGAATCCCAAATTCAAAGCCAGCCTCAGCAACTGAGAGGCACTAAGCAACTCAGTGAGACCCTCTCCTTAAAATAAAATACAAAATACAGCTGAAGATGTGGCTCCGTGGTCGAGTACCCCCGAGTTCAATCCCCAGTACCTAAAAAAAAGAAAGAGAAGCACAGGACTCCTGTCTCAGAGGCTGTGTTCTGCCCATGAGCAGGAAAGGTGGCTTGGAAGGAGGGGACTGGAACCTCCCTGGGTTCTGTGTTGGAGCTTCTCTGTTAACTCACTTGTTAACTTGGGAGGCAGTCACTCTGGCTCTTCAGGTACCATCCCCTGAACCTGGATGACTTCATGCCTATGGTGGGTGTGCACTCAAGGACAGATAAATCTGCCTAAAAGGGGGGAGAAAGGGAGTGCTCTTTCCCCTGAGATTAGGGAGGGGGGAGATTAGGGAGGAGCTGGGAGAGGAACAAAAAAAATGTCCATTTTAAAAACAGATGACAAGTGGCAGAGCAGCAAGAGCTCCCTTCAGGGCCTGGGGATGTGGCTCAAGTGGTAGCACACTCCCCTGGCATGTGTGGGGCCAGGGTTCGAGCCTCAGCACCACATACAAATAAAGATGTTTCCGCCGAAAACTAAAAATAAATATTAAAAAAAGAGCTCCCTTCAGAGCATAAAGTGGGCACTGTTGCAGGAGGACTGCGTGTTTGTGGGAAATTTAGCAAGACCTCTCAAAATGTTGAGAACATTAGCATGATACAGACTTGTTCCTTGCTGGGTGCAGAAAACGGCTCATGTTCCTCACTTCTCAGACCCATCATCTCCCCTTGACACATCAGGGATCTCCAGAGATGAGCCACCAGGATAGAGAGATTGCATGA